TCGAAAAAATAGATTTTTCATATGTTTTACTATGTGATCGACAAAAATTACGTAGACTTTTGTCCAGTGAGTGTAGATACTAGAACCATTACCAAAACATTTGTTGAGTTTGTGAGCGATGATAAGTTTAAAGACATTACCTGTCCAAAGCCAACAATTTGAATATTCAAAATAAATAATTATTTTCTTTTTAAAACAATCAAGCGGGCGGGTTAACAAGTAATTATTATAGACTTTTCTTTAAATGCTAGAATCAAGTCCTTAATTCGTTGGATTCAGGTTTGATTTGAAAATAAGGTTAATAATTCTTTTATCTTTCTCACCATTCCTTGAAATTCTTGAATGCCAGACACTTTGGTCTTGAAGATTAGTTAAGTATTCTTTTCCAAATCATCTGTATATATTTAATATCTTTTAAGTATTCTTTTTCGCTGCTTCTTCCAGAGTTTCGCCCGGCTCTATTTACCGTCTCTTTTGATCTCTTTCAACCAACAACTTATTATTATTATTATAAACGAATTTGTCGAAGAGGATGAGCGTTTATTCATTTGGTTCAACAGGTAATTTATTTTGAGAATAGACTTGTTTTCGTAAAGCAACACCCATCGGAAACATTGTTAGAAAGATGAAAAGCAGGATTACTAAAATTTCTACCACGAAATACTCTAATTTAAACCGGCTGGACTAGTAGTTCCCCTTGTCTTTTTTTTCCTCAGAGCTTATTTAAGTCTATCACAAGATCTTACTCTTTATCATTTATGCTATGCATAAGTAATATATTATAAAATATTCCTAAAAAACACTCATAATTAGTTTGGCGACGACCTTGTGTGCTTACAAAGAGAGCAGATTTCTTATCAATGAATTTGGTGTTTCTAATCGTTGAGAAAATATCCCTTTCTTTTTGCATAAGATACAAAATTTATGTTCTGTTGTTTTGACCATTAGGTTATCGACGGCTCGAGCCTATTCGAATACCATTTTGAACACAAAATATTCATCGTTTTGCTTATGATAATAAGATCAGCAAATCATTGCGTAAACGTACTTGAACTATTTCCATGCATATTATAATGCCTATTTGGACTGTCAGACCTGCCCAGCTCTTATCGATGTTTATTACCATTTAAAAAGTTCGATATACGAATCAATGCGCAATGCTGATTGTCTTCTTCGTATGATGTCGAATGCTAATACAAAATCGTAATCATGAGTAATACTAGTTTCAAATTCTGATTTAGACCATACGCTACTAGTTCACGGATGGCTCAGTAGAGTTCGATATTCAATATTCCATGTCTGTCTAAATACAATTAAACATCGGTTAATGTTTCAGAAGGTATTACGCCAAAAAATTAAGAGATAGATGAAAGTACATGTTTTCTTGAAACTTCTAAAATATTACTGTGCGAACTTCATGTTGTACAATTTGTGGGATTATATCTAATCAGCTTATAAAGCGAAATTGGTTATAATAAAATAATTTTCGATGTCATCGAAACAGAAAGATGACATTGTTATTCTATGGATTAGTCGGATTGTCTGGGGGCGGACAGCAAAGGCTAGATGCACATGTCTCATCTTCTGAGCAAAGTAACAAACACGCAGACTCGTGAGTTTCCTATTAAAATATAACGGGATAAACAGAATCAGCACAATTCAATTCTTAGTTTACGTATCACAAAAACTGTCAACCAAAACATTATTCTCTTACAACCTCGTTATCAACCAGCTGTTCGTTTCCCGTATTTAAACTCTTTATGAAGATACTCTTTCCGTCGGGACTGACTTTAACAAATTCGGGTTGAATGGTGGTCGAGTGTATTCCATAGGTATGCATTGTTTGACGTATTCTTGTTGCAATCGACATGTAATCAGCTCCTGGCATCAACAGCACATGAAGAGAAGCAACCAATTTATGTTCAGATAACTGCCATATATGAAGTTCGTGAACTGAAATGACTTCACTCATCTGCAGAATAGAATCATTAAGTTGTTGTAAAAACACGAATAATCGAATGAAGATACTGCAAGCAGAAAAGTTAAAGGTGAACGTCTTACAGAAGCAATATCGTCATGGACGTTTTCAATTTGAAGACCATTTGGAACACTTTGCAGTAAGATTAGACATGTACTTCTAACTATCAGAGAATAAAAAAAAAACGCCGTTAAAATTATCTCGCTATTTTATGACAAGTAAATTAAGTACACGCGTATTTACCTAATGGCAATGCGGAAGAGAATATAATGATTGTGATAACCAAACTACATTCATAAAAGTCGTAAAGTTATTATCAACTTGGACAATATGCGACAACATCTGCAATTTACTAGTTCGCGTTCCACTTGCCTTATAGCTGGATCCATGTAGAATCTCCAAGAATAAGTCGTATACTTAATAAATAGAGCCGTTGCAATTACGCCTAAATTAATAATAAGATTTAAATTATCAGTCCGCATAATCACATAACGTTCATGCATAGTTTAATGCTCTTACCAATATTTCCTAGGAAATCACCAAGAACGTGCAAGAATACGCCTTGCATATTCAAACTCTTATGCCCATGCATTTTACCGTTCTCGCCTCCGTGACTGTGACCATGATGATCATGATCATGACCATCACCGTGGCTGGGTGAATTATGTTCGTGTCCATCGATATTAGGATCAAAAGAAGCTTGTTTCTTATCATGTTTATGCTCAAGTTGCGTTATTGCTTGTGATTCGTCAGGAACACGATTTTCTGCTGCTCCCAATTCCGTGATATCATTGTTTTCTGCAGCTGAGGAAGAGGAGGAAGAGCTATCCGGTGAACCAACTAAAGCGGCAGCATCTGCCATTCCTTCAATAATGGATTGACGTCTATCGGGACGGGCTGCTTCGACAATAGATTGACGTGATCTAGCAGGATGAACGAATATATCAATAGGAGGAGAAGCTGGCTTTGTATCCGTGGATTTTTTTGGTCCATGATCATGCGAATGGCCGTGTGAATGGTTGTGTTCTATATAAAAATAATAAATACATCATCATGCGAGTCTACGAAAGAACACAGACTTTAACGCAAACTAACCGTGGAAAAGCAGTAAACCAATTATGTTCGAGGCTAGTCCCGCACTTCCAACAATAAGAACCATATCCGGATTAGTTATTTCTGTAAAAGAAGTCATCCGAATCTTAATCATGTGAAATAAATATATATGAACAACTGGACAGATGAAAACTAACCTTGAGGCTCGAAAAATCGCTCCATTGCACTAATGAGAATCGTAAAACACAAAGCAAGCAGGAAGACACCGTTTATAAGCGCACCCAAGATTTCTGCGCGTATATAACCATAACTGAGTCGCTTAGGAGATGTCCTACTATTAACAAGCTATAATGATATGATATGGTAACGTTGTGTCAATCAAACTTCCTTACTATGCGAATACAGACGCTCACTACTTACACGCAAGGCGTACAATGCAACTACTAAGCTCATGACATCGTTAAGCATGTGAAACGAGTCAGCAACCAGTGCGAGTGAATGTACCGAGTACCCCGCAATTATTTCTAGTAAGAAGAAAGCTGTGTCGATGACTAACAGCGTTATAATGCGGGTCTGCTTCGAGAGTCCCATTTTGAACGTTTGAACGGTTATAAAACCGAAGAACCGATATTAATATAAGAAATAAAGTGGGAAAAATGGCTTCGGCGATTTTATCTTGTCCCAGTCACAAAAAAGTAAGGTCCGCTGTGTCACAAGAACTGATCATCTTGCAGTTGGGCAAATTTATATCAAAACACATACTAATACTGAATATCAATATTAAAGCAATAAACGTGTGGAAACTGATTTTTTTCATCTTCCCATAATACTTAAATATCGAGAGCTTGATTATATGACGAGCTTGCGTGTGCTTTTTCTCAAGTCAGGTTCGGTTGAGAGCATCTCATTGATAGGCTATGTATAGCACGCCACAAACAATGCACTGTTACAAATTCAGGGATAAAATATATTGAAACGGACGCCAAGCGGTAAATAAATAATTACGTCACTCCCTTACAAGGGTGCAATTGCTGGTGGAGAAAAGAAATATAAATTTCACAGTAGGTGATTCGCACCATCAAGAAGTTAACAACAGTAATCGCAGATGGGCATGAAGACCTTACATTGAGATTGAGAGAAACGTACGCCTGCTTGGACAGAAGTACTAGTACATAAATTTCACAGTAAAATTGAATATTTCCCATACTAATACGTATTTGTGTAACCAAAATTGACCTCTACTACTACATATACAAAATGTAAAAGCGCGTAGCTTTCACAAAATCGCGCAAGTTTTTTATAAACAATTGCGCTACTTTTGGTGTTTATGAAACTCACCTTAATCCTTGTTTTGTCTTAACTTTATAACTGTCAAAAAGTGACTTTAAATAAGGTTCACCGTCAACCATCTTTCATTTTTGGAACAGGTGTGCATTCTCCCAAAAAACTTCACCGTTTTAACTGGTATTTCCCTGTCAACAATATCAAAAGTAAAAATGCTTTGCACAGAAGGGGTAACGGCCGTCGCAAAAAACTAGGACCCGAAAAATTACGTAAACTTGAACAGTGCATTTGCAGGAATAATTCTTAACTTTGGCTACAGCGCTACCCAAGTATGGAGAACCAATATTCCACATGACAGCGGGAAGAAAAATTTTCGGAAAAAAGTAACGACGTTACAATTTATGTAACCTTTTTCCAAGAGTACAATTAATAGACAAAATAGTTGATGGTACGTCTATGCAGCATTTTGCTTATAGCAACATACGGCGAGGCTAAATGAAAGAGTAATGACTTGCTACAAAAAGTTTGTCATGATCATTAAGTATATAACAAAACTTGTGCGTCTTTTTAAGCGTCGCTTTATGATACTTTGTCATTAGACATTAAAACATTATAACGGCCGCTGGCAGACACACGTACACATCACATTGTTTTAATTTTTTTTCTTGTACTAAGTCATAAGCAAGATTAAGCAATGTCTTTTCTTTCGCTCTTCCCTCGCTTCCTATGCTGCTCAATCATAACCCGCTCGATCTGTCTTTAACGATTCTTAATTTCTGAGCATTTTATCTTATTTTGGACTTTTTTCAGGAGAAATTATTCCATTAAAAACAATATTACACAGTCACTCTCGATATAATGATCCCCCGATAAGATAAAGTGGCCTAATATGATGCTTTTTCCCGGAACCAAATCAGTTATAATAAAATCGGGCTCGATATAATGAAGATACTT